TGCTAACCAGCTCCAGCTTTAAGACTCATGTTCATTTATTACATGTAGTCATCGTAAATCAAACGGCAGGGCTCTGAAGTTTCTCGGGTTTTCCTTTAGCAGTGTGTTTCCAGCTCTGTGTATTATCACTGCTGATGGAAATGAAGATGTTTGTGTGATGCTAAACATTAGCCTGCTAGGACATTGTTAAACTGGAACAAACGCAAAGTTGATGTTCCTCACAGTTCTTCAGCATTTCTTCTTGTGTCATGCAGGCCAAAGGAAACTGATTTTCACACACATCTGCTAATGGCCAGGAGAGACTGTTTATTTTGTGTGTCTCTGAGAGTGAAGAAGAGAGCGAGCGAGTGACTGAGCAGGAGAGTTTGTGTTTACTTGCATGGCGATTGATTTGTATGCATTGGCTTAAACAATGAGGATCAAGCTCCATTACCAAATCATGTGTGTCCAAGTTGAGGTTGGGCAATTGCAGCAGATCAATTATCAAAGATCTGAGGTCCAGGGAAGAGGTTTCACAATGCAATCAATATGTTTAAACCATGGCTGTGGTTTATAGTGGAAAGTTAAAAAGGTGACTGATTGGATGCAGAATGAATTCCATAACAAATTGCAAAAGAGTTGCATGAATCCATGAGGGTTGTTAATGTTCCAATTTTTTTTTTCTTTTTATCATATAAGTCAATAAAGAGGGAGAAAAAGTAACAAGTATTTAAAAAAAAATCTGTCAGCAAGTTGAGATTGTGGTACGCATTCTTCACTTCGTCCCAGAAAGAACAACAAATTTGAGTTTTTATCTCAATTCAACTTCAATTAGTCTGTTGTGTGATCCCTCATTGCAAAGAACAACCACATTATGCATTACTCATCTCATCATCAGATCTCTGCAGTGGTTTATTTTACTTGGCTTAGCCTGTAGAGTAAGTTGCAAAATGCCCTCCCACCCCCCCCCCACAACCCCACCCCTTAAACCGTTTCCAGACTGCTTATGTTCTCTCAGTTTGAAACTCTTTATACTCATGCGGATTGAATGGCATTACACAATTGCGTGTAATGTATAATGTGCACACCCCATTTTTTCAGAGGACTGTTTCATGTTAAAATTACTTCAAACGGCCTCTATGGTTACCAGCATAATAATGGACCCCAGCTCTAGATGGTGAATATACAACCGTCCCTTCATGACGAGTGTTTCCAACACATCACGTCCCAGTAACATAGATCTAAGAAACTAAACTGCAGCATAATCAACACACACTATGGAAGCTTGTATTTTCTTTACACTGCCACTTTTCCTGCAGTATGTGATTCGTTTTCTGTGTGAGCTGTATGTATGTACAGTATGTGTGTGTGGGTTACGTTGAAGGGGTGTGGTGGTGGGGTCCTTTTTGCGCTGTATGGTCTGCAGTATCAGGTTTGCACCATGCATACGTTACCAGCATGTATGTCCCTAAAATTACACAGAGCTACAGGAATAGACAATATGTAAACAAGGATTGATTTTGTTTGCACAACCAGGTCTACTTGGAAACGGCAGAGTCCAGCAGGAGGCTGCAGAGGACGCCTGCTCTCTCCAGACAGAGGCGTGCAGAAGAATGTCTCCCTCCTTAAGCCTCTGATTAGAACAAATCTGATAAAAGCAGAGTTTCATCTTAAATCTGAACTACCCTTAGTATGCGGGGACCTTTCCATTAAATGACAAACTCAGTTGTCCTGACTGTTTATAAATCTTTGGTGAAATCTGTTATGTCCACACTGTCTGCACTTTATCTGATCTTTTTTTTCTATTCTAGTCCAGTTATCCCTTCCAATAATATATATATATATATATGTATATATATGTGATCTTGGTGCAGGACAAACCTGGTTAAAAAGAAATTAAAACTGAGATGGTAATCGATATTACATTTTCAGTATATATAAACTAAGTTGTCATTTTCATTTAAAGAACTTTCTTGCGGCTTTCATTAGTTTTGCAAACTAAAATTGTAGATGCAAAAAAAACTCCTATTACATCCCAGCACTTAGAGGACAACTAGGGAACTGAAAACCAAGTCACACTAAAGACTAAATCCTGAGGAATCATAATATTCCTATGATTTATTTAGGACTTAAAATTGTTAATTGATATTTACATTAGAATAACTCCTGTGTCATATAAAAAACAAACTATAGGCTATATTAGGCAACTTGGTCCATTAAATATGATGCCATTTGGTCTAGCAGGAGCTTTTAAAAAATAATCAGAAAGTTTAATGTCCTATCATGTCGATGTTTTCAGACCATTTGAAGTTATATAAGACAGCATGATGGCACTGTTTATCCTTCCAAGTAGAGCCCATGCTGTACATGTTAAACCATTTTGCTGCAAAGACGTGGAACAGTCAACAAATCAATCATGCCGGGTTTCTTACTGAAGCAGATTAAACCACCATACCCACAATGACAGTTACCCCTGATAGGTTTGCCACATGCATGCCATCTTTCACCTCATTCCGCTGCAGCTGAAAGAAGTTGTTGAGATAGTTGGAGTTCAGGGAAGAGCTCAGGTCCGCCGCTGCGGGAGTCTTGCTGAAATTGAGATCCGGGTGGGAAGAGTTGGGTTCGGGTCTGAACGCGTCAAAAGCGCTGGTCTGGTGGGGGTCTTGCAAGGAGAGATAGACCCAGTTGAGAAGTTGGGCAGGCTGGTACACGGAGGCACTCGTGTCTATGGCAGACAACAAGCTCATCTTTCAATTCAAATGGCTAAACTGGATTTTCCACCGCTGATTCTTGGACTGGTCTCAACTCTTTTTGCCGTCTTGCTTTTCCGTTCCTGTACCCCGGCAGTGGCAAGTGCTCCTTTTCTCTTGCCGTACAGGGCCCTGTCCTCCTCGCGCCGGGAGCCTCGTCCCAGTTTGAAGTTACTCAAAAGTCATTGCGCTAACATGTCAGTATAAAAAGTTTTCCCCTACTCCCCATGGCCCGCTATCTGCCTTTATTGCAGAGAGGCAGAGAGAGACGTTTTGGATATGTAATGAGGACGGCTCTACGTCATCGAAGACGCTGGCCAATCAGCGCCCGGCTTGTGTGAATATTCATTCTTTGGCTCACTGGATGAGACACAAGCTGTTCCCCTGCCCATTCTGATAATACAAAGTGTCCAGCTTCACCGTCAAGTTTATACATGTTTGTGGCACAAAGGTAGCCTACAATTATGTTTTTTGTAGGTTTACAAATTATGTCTGTGTTTCATCCATTGTTTCTCCAAATCAGCTTACCTTGTTTGTAAAATGTATCACTAACATTTGTTTTGTCAGTAGGTGTTAAGGAGTGGGAGTGAGGAGGAATCGTGTATGTGTGTGTGTGTGTGTGTGTTTGTATGTGTGTGTGTAAGTGATAGAGGGGGTGGGGATAGGTGTTTTGTTTATTCAGGAACAAAAGTTTTTCCTTGAACTTAATTCACTAATCTTTTTTTTTTTTTTTTTGTGATGTATTGTCTTGCCCTAACTTTTTGATTGATTTGATATTGACACATTTGAACATGTATGTCATTAAGTTGTCTCAGAAACATTTTCTAATGGGACAAAATGTATCTTCTTGAGAAAACAGCATCAACAGAAAATACTGGAGGAAAAAAAAGATAATCTATCAACATATTCACAACCACAAGCCCAAGACTTTTCTTTCCCTTCTCTCCCCCTATAGTGCCCATATGCACTCTACTGGCAGCCAGCGAGACAAACTACATTTAGGATGGAAAGCTTGAAAAATGGCTCCCTCTTGTGGTAAATATCAGTATCACACATTCAAAATTGTGTCCCAAACATAATCAGAAGCATTACGCAAGCAAGGTATGAACCCAGTGACGTGGTATAGTAGGCGGATATATTAATAACACTTCCCTGTTGGCAATTTTCACCAAATTGCAACCACCTTCATAAACAACAATCTATCACACAGTAGTTTGAAACACTACATCACACAGTTTTTAATTATTTTAAAAGTCACATAGATAGATAGATAGATATAATCTTTATTATCATTGTATGCAAGGACACAACGAAATTTTGTTCGCAGCAATCCTAAACAGCAGCGTTTACAAAAAAAAACAACAACAAAAATATATATATTTGTGGTGATATGACAGAGAAGTGTGTCAAAAGTGGCCAGAGCAATTGCTGTTCAGTGAATGAATGATAATGATAATAAATAAATAGACAGTTGTGGTGACTGAAAGAATATATACAGTTATTATTTTTGCAGTGACTGATTAATTAAACAAATATAAATATAGAGATATAGTGCAAATAAGTGAAGTTATGGTGCAGTGACAGAGTATATACAGTTATTATTGTGCAGTGATGAGTAAATAAACAGTTTTAGTGCAATGAATAAATAAGTAAATAGACAGTTAAAGTTAAAGTGCAGTGACTGAGTAAATAAATAGACAATTATAAATCAGTGGTTATAACAAAGTTATTGCACAAGTAATATTGAACAGTTAGCAGCGGTTGAGTAATTATTGCACATAGGCCTAGCTTTTATTTCTAAACTCTTTTTTTTTTTTATTGTATTTGCTTCTTTTTCCAGTATATAAAATTCAACAATGTGTTATCTAGCACTTTATATTATAAAATTATTGGTATAACTAGTAACTACTCTTATGTATCTGCTTGTAAATAAACACAACATGAACGATTCTCTTTGCATTATTTAAGGTAAAGCTAACTTGGGGCAGGAGATACAATTTCAGACAGCACACCTGTGAAACTATGCACCTATTGTTACGTGTGACGTCGATAAGTCACATTTTCCATCATGTCACTGACGTCACTGACGTTGATGAATGTTTGTGTCCTCCTTGTGTTGACTGTTGTCACGTGGTCTCGCTGCTCCGTGTGTCACTGACGGGCCGATTGCAGCGTTGCCAGATCTCGCGAGAGAAACAAGCAACCAGCTGTACGAAAACAAGCCCAAAGTCGCTTACAACAAGCGGACCTGGCAACACCGGCCGATAGATGGGTGGGTTCCTTAAATGGAAAGTATGAGTCCCACCCACACACCAGTCAATACTGAGACTGGAAAAAAAAGAAACACTTCTTTCAGGAAGAGACTGCGAGCAGACTAAAGTAAGTGCTAAAATCCTCACAGCGACTAAAACAACGCCACACTTTGATCCAGAAATGTTATAAGCTGACGTAGTAGGTTACGTTTCGAGTAGCAGCTGTTTTGTGAAGTCATTTTGTGTCTTTATGTTTCTCTGCTGTCCGCGGCGCTGTCGTTAGCGTGCCAACGTTTGCATTACAGGTTTACCAAAGTAGTCAGGCAAGGTTACAAATCTTCCTCCTGCTTGCATTATGTTGTGAGCTTGTTTCGTTTAGTTAAATGTTTAGCTAAGTGGCGTTAGGTTGCAGTTTTAGTTAGGGCAGGGTTTACATGACAGGGTTTAACTTCAGCGGATTATGTAAAGTGTGCTGGGAGCTGTGACGTGTTGAGGCCTGAAACAGCGCTGTGTTATCCACTGTACACTGTTTGGAAACCAAACTTCAGCTCGAGTTTTAGCTGAACTTTTCATATCCTGAATCGCACAGTTTAATCTAATCCACGCAGTTTACTCTACTAGTTTATTACCTCTTGTTTACGACAGAAGTAGATACAATATTCAAAGGATGCTTAGGTGTTAGTAATGGTCACTGTATTGACACTTTAAGAACCTGCAACATAATATTCCCACAAAATCTCGTAGAGGATAAACATAATAAACTATGGAGGACGAGATCTGACAAAAGTAGAAATAAATAAATGTAGAAATAAATTTAAGACATTTAATTATTTATGTGCCATTTATTTACCAGTTTTTATTTATTTATTCACTCATTTAATTATTTTTTCTTTATTTATTTATACATTTATTTATTTATGCTTTTGTCAGATCTCGTCCTCCATACTATGTGGTCTTGGTCTCAGCTCGTGTTGTTGGGTTCTTGTGTTTCCTGGGTTCTTATGATGGTTCTTGTGATGGTCGGGTTATATATGTCTGGTTGTGTATCGTGCACTTTGGGTTCTTTTCTGTTGAATTGTATTTAATTATTTTTGGTATTTTGCATCTGTTATATTCTTACTGTTGTTAATGTTTTTCTGTGTTTGGTTTAGTTTGCTTTGTTCTTGCTGTTTGTCAAAGCACTTTGTAAACCTGTGTTTTTAAAAGGTGCTATATAAATAAAGTTATTATTATTATTATTATTATACTAAACAGCATAATAGAAAGATAAAGAAAAAGTTAACTTCAACAAAATAAGACGGCAACGTTTACAAATAATGGGCTAAGGAAATTCAAATTAGACAAAAACCTGGAGCGAGGATAAAAATATACAATTAGTGAGGGTAAGGAAACAAAACAGTTTGAGAAATTCTTAAAATCCTGCTAGAGTACATTTTTCTTTTAACTGTCTCTGCATTGTGTCACCTCAGGGTTAGTTATTACCTCATACTTTGTGACTTCATTTTCAGAGTTTCTGGCTCTGTCTGAAGTGATATCGATCTTTATTAGCACCCTTACTCCCTAAGTAAACATGGCTGTACATATGTGTCAAGTTTTGCATCTGTGGACTGTGGTTTCATCAAGTCAGTTGTTTTGTCACAGTTTGAAGTGTTGAAGCAGGTTGTTGTGGTGTATCTTCACTTGAACAGAAATTGAAAGTAATATGTTTGAACCCACACAATTAACTGACATTTTTAAGTCTAATTTGTTCTGACCAAATGTGCTATAGCTGTTGATGTAGTATTACATATTGTTATTTGGTACGTTGAGTCAGCATCAGTACTACTGTGTTTGCCATCAGCAGCAGTGCCTGAAGGGGCAGTGTGTAAGATGTTATGTGTTTACTTGACACACATCTACAGACTGTGACTGGATAACTTTTCCCTACAATGTCCTAGGATACGTTCTTTGTCCTCTGTCTTTCCTTGTGTCAAACACATGTTTGATTGGCTCTATACAAAGCTAATAATATCAATCAGTCAAGCAAGGCTACTGTTCCATTCAGGTCCACTGAAGTCAGTTTTACCACAAAACCAGTAGACTTATTTAAACACTGTTTTTTTTTTATTAAAGTTTAAAGAAAACGGAAAATTCTCTCACCACTTCTCAGCTAAATGTATGTAATTCAACAGCCTTAGCATAAAGACGATTCCCTTCATTACGTTGACTCCTATATTGCTAAACTCAAAGTAAAGAATGGATAACTAAAGAAGCTCATATTGGGGAAAATAGCACGGACAGGCACGAGAGTCTGTTTAAAAAGGAACCTCTAGTTTGCTTTTAAGTGTATTTAGAAGAATTACACAGTGAAAGAAGAAGAAGAAGCTAAGCTGTGATGTCTTATAGGCCAACCAGCTATATGACGAGACATGTTACTCTACTGTAGTTCTGGAAAATTCAGATTGCTTATGTCTTAGTCAGTGAAAGATTCTGTGCTGTGGGAAAGCCCACGGCACAGAGGAGGAGGGGCAGGTTCATAGCAGGGTGTGTTTTCAACTCTCTTTTAGCTATCTCATTCAATATGTCTTTTAAGGTTGCTTTAACCGTGTAGTGTTCTGTCTTAATATTCTTTGCTAACATATAAAGTACATATTATCTACGCAGGTGCACAGAATGATTCTAACATGGTTAATTATAGGTTATGATGGGAGCTATTAGAATGATTCATCATTTTTATGTTTACAGCCATGAGCTACCCTGGATACCCCCCTCAGGCAGGTGGATACCCCCCTCAGGCAGGCGGATACCCCCCTCAACAGCCTGGTGCCTATCCACCTCAGCCTGGAGCTTACCCTCCTCAAGCAGGAGGCTACCCACAGCAGCCAAGTGGCTACCCCCCTCAACCTGGTGGCTATCCACCACAAGCTGGTGGCTATCCACCACAAGCTGGTGGCTATCCACCACAGGCAGGGGGCTATCCACCACAGGCAGGAGGCTATCCACCACAAGCAGGGGGCTACCCGCCACAGGCTGGGGGCTACCCGCAGGCACTACCACCAGGTAAGCCATTTTTTCACACCGTTAAAGACATTTAAAATGCATTAAATGTTGTACAGGCAATATGATTTCTCGTAGTGGTTGGAAATGAATAGCCTGGCTCTGCCAAAACGTTACAACATCAGCCGGTTGGCATCTGTAAGGTTTACGTATGCTTTTTGTCTTGCTCAAAATATAAACTCTAAAATTATTTGTTTTGGCGTAGTTTTAACCTAGTGGTTGTGTCGTGCTCCCCATGTACAGAGGCTGTAGTTGCAGAGGCCATGGGTTACAATTTGACCTTTGCCCTTTGTGGCATGTAAGCCCCCACTCTCTTCTCCCAACACCTCCTGTCTCTCTTCAGCTGTCCTATTCAAGAAAGGCAAAAATGGCCCAAAAATATCTTTGGAATTTTTTTTTTACGGTTTTTAACAAGGCCTCATACAGAGACTTCCTCTGATCTTGTGGTCACTGTCACTCAAGCAGGATACTTTTCATAGACAAGTTTAAAGTTGCATTAAGTCACAAGTGGCCATGAAAGTCTAAAAATATTAGAAAAAAGACATGTTACATGATAGAGTTTTAAAGGCACATAGGCAAATAATACCTACCGGTACTTTCACATAAGTAGAGTAGATAAAGAGCAACTCAAGCATCCCATTTAGATGATTTAAAAAGTACTACTAGAAAAATTCAGATGAAGTGAAATGCTGTGTTTTGGTCAAGGTTTTCTGATCCCTATTTTAGGAATAGTGAGTCAGTAATTTAGTGTTGGTAGGCAGCAGCGATCATGGGACTTATGGTTAACAGAGTGGAATTTTTTTTCCCTTAAAAACAAACAAACCTCTGCTGTTGCTAAGAGAAGCAAGTCCCACAACCCGTCTTCAACATAATAGCCTCATTCTCTGTCCAGCACTTCTTCACCTATATGTTAACTAGTTTGAATGTGAGAAAAAGGAAAATCCAGGAAAAAGGGGTCAATCCCATCCTAGTCAAATATACCCGAATCTTTCAGGCATTTAGGGCATCCTCAACTCCTCTGAAGAGCTTTGTCTTTGTTGTCTGCTGCAGGCGGCTGGGGAGGTGGCCCTGCTGGTGGATATCCCTCAATTGGTATGGACAATTTATCTAACCCTGGATACAATGCTGGCATGGTAAGCTTATCCTACAATCCTATTACCTTACACCCAGCAAATTTGTTTTAAAATGTGATAAAACCACATGAGACTATTGCATTGAATAATCCAGTTAAAATGAGTTACACAGCCATTCATGGAGTATTGCGTCCTATCATTTACGGTAAGACTTTTCCAAAGTCTGCGTCTTAAACTCCTCAGAATTGCAATTTCCTTTGTCAGCTTCTCCATGAAGCTCTTTGCATGAGAAGAACAGTCACACACTTCATCCTTTTCTACACTTCTTAAACCTTTCAATCTCATGCAACTCTTTTTATTTCCCTGATTCATTGTCTTGTCTATCATGTACTTTCATCTGTGTCGTCATAAATGTTCATTTCCATCTGAAAATTCCAGCATGGCCGCACTTTGTTTGGAAACTGCTTGTACACAATTCCACCTAAAGGAAACTCAAAAACATCAGAACATGAACTTCAGTTTTTAAACTGAAGTTAGATTCAGGGTAAAGTGCATTTTCTTTTGAACTTGACAAACATTTACAATTTCCACAGAAAATCTCAAATCCAAACAAGGTGTGACCAGCTACCTGTGCTTTGCATAAAAAACTCTTCAATGAGTTGTACACATGTTATGAGATTCTAATGTTTCCGAACCACAGGCCAACCAGACCTCTGCAGGGATGGGGGGTTATCCCCCAAACCCATCCATGTTCACCCAAACCCCTGGGGGGTACCAATCCTCCCCTCAGCCTAGCGGGTATGGTGCCCCCTTCCCTAACCAACAGTCATTTGGCCTGTACCCACAGCCAGGAGGGACCATGCCTCAACACCAAGGCCCAGGGATGGGATACCCAGGTCAGCCTGGGCAGCCAATGTCCGGATACCCACAGGGACCATCACCCAATCCGCCCATGGCTGGTTATGGAGCGGCACCAGCTCCCATGCCAGCATACCCAAAAGTCCCTTCACCAAATCCATCCATGCCAGCCTACGGAGGAGGAGGAGCCATGCCAGTGGCTCCAGCCATCAATGTAAGAAACACTGGACATACTTAGTTTGGCCTCTGGGTTAAATTACTAACTATACGACTTATTATGTCTCCTGGTATGATGTGTGATGTGTGTCCAATTGTATATTTTTTTACAATGTAATGTAAAACAGAGTTAACGTTTTGCAATGGAAATTGCTTCATTGTTATCTCAGAGAGGATTCAGGGGAACGATCAAGGACTTTCCTGGAGCTGATCAGCTCAGAGACGTGGAGGTTCTGCGGAAGGCCATGAAGGGCTTTGGTGAGTTATGGGGGGGGGGGGATTGTTTCTTGGCTGTAATGATGTATTGTACACAATGCACCAAATGTTGACCACTTGGCAAGTAGTTTCTTACTGTGTAGTCCTATGAGCTGCTCCTAGGACTACACAGTAAGAAAGTTGAATCCTTTTTTTGTAGGGCACATAGTGAAAAAAAAATATTACAGTAGTTTTCTTTTATTTACTTTTTCTTTCTCTCAGGATAGTTGGTGAAAAGTAGTTTTGGATTATTCAAAAATTATTCCATATTATATTTGTGGATCTGTTATTAGCACAAAAACACAATAAGTAAAGGGACATACATTTTGTGGGGGAAAAAATAACAGATTTATAAATCAAATCATCTGATAGATTAGGCATATAATATACATACATTTATTGAAGCAGCAGAACATAGTTGGTGGGGCAAACTGCTGGTGAAGGTCAGAGCTTGCAATGAAAGAGCACACGGAGAGACCGGAAATCTTGCAGCTTAAAGTCAATATATTATTTATCAGTACATTTTTAAATGTTTAGATGGGGGAAGAAGACATTTTCTGTATCTGTACTCTCTGTCTGACTCTATAATTGGGCCTTGTCTGTTCAGGAACTGATGAGCAAGCCATCATCGATTTACTGGGGAGTCGCTCCAACAGGCAGCGTGTGCCTTTGCTGCGCGCCTACAAAACCTCCTATGGAAAGGTAACAGTTTTGATAATGTGCTTTTTGTCTGACACCTGATGCCATTTGTATGAGTAAAAGATTGAAATTCAACAAAACATTTCCAGACATAGACTTATCTGTGTTTTAGTTTACATAATAATAATAATAATAATAATAATAATAATAATAAGCTTTATTTATAAAGCACTCAAAACAGGGTTACAAAGTGCTTTACAAAAAATAAAAGAATAGAGAAATGTGACTAGTACAATACAGGAGTTCCACAGATTATACAAATTAGAAGGACACAGAAAAAATTTAAACCAGCAAGAAATCACAGAAGAAAGAGGAAAAGTCAATATAAAAACACCAAACAGATAAAAGGAATGAAAGAAGCAGATCGAAACCATAAAAGGATAAAAGATCAAGGAGATAAGAGATTTAAGATACTGCCATGGATTCTATTATAATTAGTAATAAAAGCATTATCTATGGAATAAATGAAAAAGATAAACAGAAAAACACGCTCAAACAACAAATCCCCTAAAAGCACATTTGTAAAAATGTGTTTTTAAAAGAGATTTAAAAGTGGACAAAGAGCAGAAGCAGAAGTGTATAATGATGACAAGCAGACAACAGGTGGTGGTGGTGCTGCCAGCAAAACGGAGCAGGGATTGGATGTCCTCAGGCTCAGAGCTCATTATAGCTATACCACAGAGCTGCGGTTAATGGTGGTTTAGAGTTATTCCAAGCATGTTTCCATTTTCAGGATCTGATTAAGGACCTGCATTCAGAACTGTCTGGAGACTTCAGGACCCTCGTGATGGCCACATTGAAGACTCCAGCTGAGTTGGATGCCTACGAGCTCCACAGTGCCATAAAGGTAGCATCTTAAGAAGATATAATTAAAACTTGTATATTGTTAAGATTTGCATTATTATTCGGTTTGAATGAAGATTCACTAACAGAAAATGAACAGGATGAGTGTTGGCTGCTCCAAGGCCAGAGGAACAGGTTTTCAGATTATCATTGGTCTGACTTCTTAACAGGGAGCCGGAACTGATGAAGCCTGCCTGATAGAGATCCTGTCCTCCCGCTCCAACGCGGAAATCCATGAGATAAACCGTATTTACAAACAAGGTGAGATACCTCGAGGCTGTGAATGCACCACTTTCCCCTACAGCTCGATATACTCCTTTATCAGACAGCATCCAACACTGTGTGGAAAGACTTTTATTAGAAGATGGATTAACTCAATGTAGCTTCATCTCACTGCCCACATTTATATATTTAGATGTTATGTGATGGACACTGTCATTTGTTTTATGTGTACATATTGATCTATATTCTAAGTTTCACCCCTCTGAACTAAATATAGTTCTGAAATTTTTTGAGTGTGTTATCGATTTTTTTTTTTTTTTTTTGTCATTTCAGAATACAAGAAGAAACTGGAGGATGCCATTACTGGAGATACCTCAGGACACTTCCGCAGGCTCCTGGTCTCTCTTGCACAGGTACAGATTGAATACAAATGAATGAGCTGTATACCTCAAGTCCACAAGCATTACTTCCAGATTAAATAACAGATATTTTCTCCCTTTTTTTCCAGGGCAATCGTGACGAACGAGAACATGTTGACATCTCTGTGGCTAAACAAGATGCTCAGGTAAAGGCTTGTTGATAATTCATCTGTTGATGATTTACCTTAAACTTTGTTGGACGTATTTTGACCGATACCGATGCGTATTTGTTTGTACACATTCCTTACAGAGCCTGTACGCTGCTGGAGAGAACAAGCTGGGAACAGATGAGTCCAAATTCAATGCAATCTTGTGTGCCAGGAGCAAATCCCACCTCAGAGCAGGTAACCATTGAAAACTGAGAACAAAGTTCCACATGTTTACAAAAAAGTGTATTCCTTTATTTACTTCATGACTAATTGTTTATGGGCGTGTGTTTGTGTAGTGTTCCTTGAGTACCAGCGTATGTGTGGCAGAGATATCGAGAAGAGCATCAACAGGGAGATGTCAGGAGACCTTGAGAGTGGCATGTTGGCAGTCGGTAAGAAAACACACACACACACACACACACACACACACACAACTATTCAAAGGTCACACCCATGCATTGTTCCAGTTAGAATCTGCTCCACATGATGAACAATGACGAGGGTAGAGCGTGCTTGATTGCATGACGAGTTTCACTTTAAAATGTAACCCTTAGACATTTCCATGCTCATTATATAACGCAGTATTAAAGCTACTTTGAACTTGAGAAGTAGTTGTGGCTCTGAACTAAGTGTTGCTGCTTTATTCATAATGTTTGTTTTCCCCCTTTTTGTCCCTCTTTGCTCAGGGTTATGGTACAGTAATCTGTTTATAGATGTGTTTGGTTTTTGATTCTCCATTTGTTTTCATTGTGAGCTGGTGTGCACTTTCAGTGTTGGGTGTGTGCCATTGTTCGGATGCTGTGTTTCATTTCAGTCTTCTGTACCATGTGTTTTGTAAATGATTTCACATTTCTATCATTTAAAACCATTATTTTCTTTAAAGCTGTGTCAATCACTATTCTGCTACTGGAAGAAAAAAAGCCCTGGCTTTATGTTTTTGTTTTTTATATATTTTTTATAATAGAAAACATCTGTCAGACAGAATGGAGCACTATAACTAGTGGCGCATGTTTTCTGCCTCCTGATAAATCTATATCTAATATTTACTCTCCTCATAGTTCTGATTTTGGTCTCCACCAATACCTTGGTATCATATTTGGCTCCTTTTTCTGCTAGCATACAATCAGTAAAACATATTGATTAATGCAGCTTTGATTGTTCTTGTTGTCATCTGTATTTATTCTTTGATGTGTGTAGTATGACTTTTCAAAGTTCACACTCCACATCGAGTATTGCTGTCTTCATCATCCTCACTTTGCAGGGGCGCATTTTAGAATGTGTCCTTTACAACAGCAGTCCACTGATCTTTTTGTTGAACATATAGACACAATGGATGTGTACTTTGAGCTTGTGTTTGTAATGACCATGTTCTCTCTTTCAGTGAAGTGTATTAAGAACACACCTGCCTACTTTGCTGAGAGACTCTACAAAGCCATGAAGGTGAGGCACCCTGACTCGTGTCACATAAATGTTCTACTGTAGTCGTAGTGCTACATCATAATTACGTCAGCCTCATTGTGTGATCATACTTGTGTTTGTGTGCTCATGTGTTCAGGGAGCTGGAACCAAAGACAGAACTCTGATCCGTATCATGGTCTCCCGTTCTGAAGTTGACATGCTGGATATCCGCCAGGAATATGTCAAAAACTACGGCAAGTCGCTGTACACACACATCTCTGTAAGTACCTTCGTCATGAAATGGATCATTGATCATTTAAAAGCAACGAGGGCACATGATTTTCTATGACAGGGCTCTAATTACTATTTGTGTTATTGACAGGGAGACACATCAGGAGATTACAAGAAGCTCCTACTGAAGTTCTGCGGGGGCAGTGACTGAAAAGGGAATGGTGTCTACTACAATATAGAAATGTTCTATATATATATATATCAATTTTTTGCTTATCTTTATGCACTATACACAAACTGCAAACCTGCATGCCATGCCAGTTCTATCAATGCAATGTTTACCTTGTTTTAAGAATATCTCTATTGCTACATTTTGATTCTTTTCTATATACAAATGCACTCAAAGTTTTATATTTTCATATTTGATTTTGTTTGATACTCATCGCCGTGCCATACAATCGATGTGCAACAGATGACATGCATTTTAAGAGCTATATAATTTTAAGATATTTTATTTTACTTGTGCCAATATAAAGAGATCTCTGATGCCGGGAACTTTTTACCAGCTCATCTCTAATGTTCAGTATATCTGAATAATGTATGAGACAGAATACATAGCAGCTATGTACCAAAGTTGTCTGTTAATGTTCTCAATTGTTTACTCTCTTCTTTATTTTGTGCAGCACGTGAACCAGATGCATTATTTTGTATGCCTGCCGTTGTAGTCTGTAACACTCAAGCATCACATTTCATTATTTGTTGGTGACTTTATCTTCATGAGTCTCAGAAAATAAATGTTGAAAATGCACATTGGAAATTGAGTTTGATTATATGCAACAACATACATTGAAATGGTTTAATACTACAAGCATCCTATAACAGGCATTATTAAGATACATTTGTTCATGAAAGTAATGCCATTAGTATCTTTTTTTTCAAAGTGTTTTGACCTTGTCATGACTGATGGGAATCTCTTCACATTGTATTACATTTCTTTTTCCAGTAGAGGGCAGTAATGACTTCAAGAACTGCAAGAAAACTGAGAAAATCAACAAGCAGAGCTGCTCACAAATTCTTGCCAGTTAAATCACTATTTGATGGCATTGGATCAATAACTAAAGGCACAATTCATTCGCAATTCAAAGCAACAGAACAAGTGACCTAGTTATCTGACGCTAAATATAGGCGAACAACTCGCAGTCGCATCAAAACAAATTGGTTTTGACTCTTAAATACACGATATTTCACTTAATCAATACAGATACATACCTCTGTTCCCTTGTGGGGTGTGAGGCCACCGTGCACGACTGCACATGGAGCTCTAGATACCTTATTACATCCTGTGGGCTTCACTTAAAATACCGCTGAATGCACTTGACTGTAGAGACGTGGCTCTGCTCAGATGGCCACAGTAGTGTTTGAGTGTGAGTTAACTGCACTGCGATCAATAGCTCGGTGAGGTGAGGAGGGGGGGAGCCCGTGGAATTAATGGCTTCCATAAAGCTGCTTTGGCCACATAAAAAAGTCAAGCATGTCTGCAGTGCTGCTGGGTGGGGGGGGGGTGGGGTGGGGTGGGGTGGGGTGGGGGTACCCTTGGGTAGCAGCCCTGCTGGAAGAATCATGTTAAAATTGACTAGAGATGGCAGGAAAAGCTTGAGGGCTGTAGATGGATGTTTAGATTTTAATAACTACAATTTTGATGATGGTTAAATGCAATTATATCCGTTTTGAGGAAGATAATTTGGACATGGCTATATGAGTTACATAAACATGTCTGTGCCAACAAGGAGTTTTGATGTCATTATGATCAGAAACCTCCCATCTGTTACAGGCTTCAAGCTGAAGGTTGTGTAATTCACCGTTAATTAAAAACCACAAAATGCTAAACGTAATGTCTATTTATAAAGGATCTAATACTTCAGGAAACCTCTTCTAGTGCCTTGAAGCCTGAGATGTTGTGGGAAACGATGCCCTACATTCAAAATCTCTTAAAAGAGTGTAAGTCTGATGATAAAGAAGAAACATACTCTCTTCTAAAATGTCTCCACTGGCTCCTTGTTTGAGTTGGGTTTTTTTTGTTTATTCCACACCCTAGAAAGACTATTTGTCTCCTCTTCATCACACAAGATGAAGATTAAATAAATACACTGTGAGAATGAATTGTGTATGGATGCGGTGAATAAAAGAGGGTGAGGATGATGAAGTTATTGTTGGGCTATTCTCATCACAGACAGCTTTCCATTAGCTCGATCTCTTCTCAGACCGGCAGAAAGAAAAAAAAAAAAAATCCATAAAAATTTCAGTTTGAGACAATTAGACCGGGATAAATGATGGAAATGCTAGCTGACAGCCTCTTCCATAAAAGATAAAGCTATTATCTGCCTTGATCCAGGCTGTCTGATAAACAAATCTTTATAATAATATTTCAGAAAACAATCAGACAGCCAAACACCAGCCCTGTTGTCTAAATAATGAACTTGTTTATACCCAAAAGATAAAAAAGCCTGTTCTATTCTAATGCATTCACCGCTCAGAAGTAGGGTACAGACACATCCATCCAATCTGTCTCAGCTATGGGGACCTGCATCCCTTTGATATGAATGAATTGTAATTAATTTTTCATCTAGAGGGATAGCACATAGTTGCACAAGCTATGGAGCCAGCATGGCAGGGAAACAGAGAGAGGGAGAGAGAGAGAGAGGCAGTGGGTTGTAGATGTCACAATGAGATTCAGTGCATGCATGAATAAGGTCACGGTTTGAGAGGTATGCCTGCAGACGCCTGCCTCTGTGCCAACAATCTTTATTCAGCTGCAGACTGGAAGCGGGAGTGCATCCATCATCATCATATTGTATCTCACAAATCCTACTCAAAAGCACGTTTCATTTGTCACTCTCACATATTGCTTATATGTTCACATATCTCTCGCTGCCCTCTTCTATTGTATCCAGAGGACAGACAGAGCACACGCTAAAAATGGTTTGCAGTGCAGCTTGCATATAGAAACAAAAAAACATGAGCCTGTGGCTATCTCCACAGGATTTTGCAGGACTGAATAAAACCATCTTATTTGAGTTCACTGCAGTGGCTTTTTTTTTAAATACAATATTCAAACTAGTTAGTAAGGACGTGTTGAATGGAGATTTGCTGATTTTACGTGTCATTAAAAGGTTAGGATAAAGGATCATGGATCAATACTACCTGTTTAATCAACTACTTTAGTCTGAAGGACCTTTTAATCCTTTGCACTGTGGGTTTATTCTGGGTTTCGTCACACCGATCAGCAGATGAGCAGATAACCAGTTATGGAAGAATAATTCACACCCTTTACTCATAGCTTGAAGATAAATCTGGTGCAAAAAAAAAAATCTTCTGTCTTTCTTATATAAATGTTTTTGAAGTCAAACGAATCATGGTGCAGAAAATTGCTCTGATGAGTGCTTAAACATCCAGTTTAAATATTGCATAAATCTGTTATCAGCCTTATGCTGTTTTGGACTAGTTTGTGTGGGTGGAGCTATTTTTTTTGGTATTATAGTATGTTGTTATTTAGATAGTCTGTAGTCATTCTATTTTATTTTAAGGTAATTAATATATCTCAAATGTAAAATAAAAACAATACATGGGAAGAAAAGAAAATATATTTAGTATTATAATATTATTTTTTTAAATAGACAAAGAAGAGTATACAGCTGAAGAAAAATATGATTGTACAGTACAAGTTATTGTCAGCTTTCCTCTAAGGATGTGGACATTATTTACCTTCCTTTAGCAGGTTGTTGATATTTTTAATACATGTCAACATTTTCATGCAAATTCTCCCCATTCTCATTTTTTCAGCCTGGGATGTTGGACGTACTACGGACTGATGTTTACGCCCATTGCAAAAAATAAAAAAATAAAATAAATAGGTGTGTTTTGGTAAAGCCCGCCCCTATTTTACCTTATATGGTCACTGAACGGCACGTTGATTGACAGCGGGCAGCAGCTGCTGAGTTGCTCAGACATGGCGGAGGATACAGTGTAACTGAGTATCAGCGGCGGAGTTACGTGAGTTTTCCCGGCAGTTCGGTCGTCTACGGGCGCATTAAATGCCACAGAAGGAGAAGGACAATGTGTTCGGCTGAAGCGTACACTGAGGGGAAGCGAAAAACGACCTGAACTGCCACGTACGAGTAAGATGGAAAAATGTATCGCTGTTTAGTGCAGTCAACAGCCTTGGGCAACAAATATGGCTTCTTGTGCCTTTTTCATTATGCTGTAAAAATTGATCTCCCGTGCAACCTAATGCCGTGGTGGCTCCGGCTAACTTCTGCAAGCCGCGATAACTTAAGTTCAATAGTCGCTCGGTACTTTTGATCGCTAAGGATTTTGCATCCACTTGGCCGTCTGGGGTTAGCTGGGAAGCTAAGGAACTACAGCGGATAGCAATGGAGCCAAAGCACAAAGAGTTGCTAGACCAGTGCCACCAGAACTTGCTGGAGTCCATAACAGATGCGGACCGAGTCATAGAGCTGCTGATAGTCTCTGGCACCTTGAGCCAACTCGATAGGTTCGAGCTGGACCAGAACTGTTCGTCCAGCGCCGAGAAAGTGGACCACCTTTTGAAGATGCTGATGAACAAGGAGAGCGACCATTTCCTCGACCTGTGTGTGGCCCTGGAGAAGGCATACCCTGACCTGTATGCAGCCCTGTTCAGCAACAACGGCGGCGGACCTGTGGACCACTCCACCGGTAAGAAACCCAGAGCTGCTCATAAACCTGAGTCACTTACAAAGCGAGAAAAGCAAAACAAAATAAAAACAACAGTGGACGAGCCTCTGCATATAGTAAAACCTCAACGCGTGGAGCTGCTGTCTGGGTGGTCTGGCGTAAGAAAACCCCCATGTGTGTGTGTGGAAAAAGCTCCACAGCACAGTTTGGAGTTAGATTTGTTATTAACCGAAATCTGTTGTAAAAAAAAAAAAAAAAATGATGATAAAGGCTCATGGGATGGGTTGCAAGTAAAGTCACCCAGTGTTCTCGTTCAACGTGGTTACACATTTAGAATCAGGGACTGTGACTTTAATTTTAATAGACTACGTTGTTAAATGTCTCTCTGCAATAAATATATGCAATGCCCTGCAGAACAAATGCTCAGCTTTTTGGACTATTTTTGCAACACGCTCTGTCATTCGTCCCTGAAATGCTTCTGTATTATTATTATTATTATTATTATTATTACGCCTCCATGAGGTAGAGTTTGTTTGTCTGTCAAGGCTCTGTGTAATTCTGCAAAATCTAAGCAAATAAACAAGATAAAAGCATTTATATCCACCACTCAACCCCAATTTTTTTTTTTTTTGTCAGTGGCATGATGTGCTTGTGGTACATTAGGTAGCCTGATTTGTTTCCATGACAACGGGTGACATGTTGGTCCATATCGACCCGTGCATGCCTGTGTTTTGCAGCCTACTCATGCATACTTACAAACCTTAGTTCACCTCCTTCAAGTGGAGAGAAAACCATCCTGGTCTGCCAACAATAACCGATGCATCCAGATTTTTCTCCAATGATGCATTAATGCAATATTATTAATGACACTATATCCAGTGTAGTCATTTGATTTGCACCGTGTCCTCACAGCAACTCCCTCCACTTGAGCTTGTGTGTTGTTGCAGTTGCACAGACACAATGGGCAGACTGTAGAAGCCTTGTCTAGTTTTGCCTGTTTTGCTTTGTTTGATTGACTGAAGCCAGTTAGCTTACTCACAGCCAGCGTAATACCCCGAGGGCCTGCATGCAGGATGAGCCTTTAGATTTAAGAGACGGGAGGAGATGCAGAGTAATGCGTCTCGCCGGTATGTTTGCATGTGCAACATCTTTAGGAGAATTTATACTAAAAGGGCGTGTGCCCCCCCCCCCCCCCAACTTTTAAACACACACTTTGACCCGTAGTTTGTACCTGTCAAGTTGTAGCGTGTTTCTGTGTACTACGAGGAAGCAGAGCGTAGCAGGTAATGCTGAGTTGGTGTCTTGCTGCTCCACTGACTGGATCTGCTAAAGGTACTTTAAGCTTTATTGCTTCCTTGTATTGCTGCAGCAGGATCACGCTCATCCTGAATTGCACTCACAGTTGTTTACATGCCAGCAGCTGCAAAACCTGGTCCCCGTGTTTGCCCGCCTTGACTTTGGCTGGACTTGACAATGTGGATTTGGGTTTTTCCTCGCACACCTTGTCTATTTTCGGCTTCAGAGTTGACCTGCCCTGTACGAGGAAAATAGTGAGCACCAGTAGTGAGTCAGCCTGTGGATATCCAACCAAGGATTAGGGCCCCTGCTCCCTCTCCCCTCTCCGCAAAGACACGCTTAATCTTGACTCTGCAGTCCCCCATATTAGCCGCCATGCTATCGGACTCGTTCTGTTTCCACTCAAGTGTCGTGGCTTTCCTTTTTTTTTTTTTTTTTGTCTCCATGTGCTTTTTCATCATCTTTAGTGTTAGTGATCCAGCTGATGGGATTACCACATTTTAACCCCACTTGCATAAAACCAAAGCCAAGCCAGTCACATAGCACCTCCAGGCAAAGCGGCTGGTAGGGAAAAGCACATAAGAAAGCAGCGAGGGAGGGAGGAAATCTTCTGTCAGAGCCCCGGTGTGGCTGCGAACAACAACAGCGTGTGTGAAGAGGGGTGAAGATGAGTGTGTGATGAGTCTCGCTGATAGCAACCTGCTCTCAAGTCGTCCTCCTCTCATGCCCGCCCGCCCGCTTTTGTTCTCAGACGTGCCTCTCCTTTGCCAGCTGAGCCTCCCGACACGCACCCTTGCTAAATCATCCACACTCCAAAGAGACATCTTCAACCCAGAGGAAAGGCAAACATAAAGATGCACTCACAAATTCTCAGTTGTTTTCAAGCGCTTGCTCTGTAAATTATTACTGTTTTGCTTGCGACACATTTGCTGTGGAGAACTTACAAACAAATCATTCATTATTTAGCCTGTTTTTGTGCATCAGTGTGCCGAGAGACCCTGGCTGACAAATTCTCCAAGTCTGATTCAGAAGCAGAACATTCACTTATACTTTGACTGAAGTTTTGTCGCAAAATGGTCGAACGCATTTCTGCATTCTCAAACCAAATTGAGTTAATTTCATGAATCCAAGTGGCTGCAATCAAGCTGATGTCATGCCTCGGGTTGTGTGCTTGTCCTTTTTAGAAAATAGCAGAAGAAGAGGTGTACCTGCACATCCCCCCCCCCCCCCCATGTGCTTTTTTTTCAGGCTCAAAGGCCTGTTACAGTGATTTAAACTCACTCTGAAGGGAGAGCAACACAATTCCCCCTGACAGGATGCAGCGTCCACAGTCCTCCCCTGTCGGTTTGACTTCATTTTCTTGTTGTCCTGGTCTCTCATTCTTGGGCTCTATTCTATGTATCACCATCTTTTTTTTTTTTTGTAAGCTCTCTTTTATTGACTCATTCTGTGACTCATTATATTTCTGAGTGGCTTAATTTCTCTGCACACTTAAAAAGGGGGCACGGCACAGAGAGACAGAGGAGGGTGATAGAAAGAGGGGGAGACAACGGGCCTTTTGTTGAGAAGTTGAGCAGACCCAAAGTGCCCAGTCAGCAGCTTGCTCTGTGTACTAGGACATAGGCCAGTGTGTGTGTGTGTGTGTGTGTGTGTGTGTGTGTGTGTGTGCCATTGGAGGGGTTGTTCTCCTTTCTGTCATCCAGTTTCTGTCCCGGTCCATAAACCACAGTGGACAGAAGGAATGAGTTATGACCCTGACGCTCTTGTCACCACCGCTGCTCTTAAATATCTCCCATGGGCTTAACCTGGACTTGCTCTCTCTCTCTCTCTCTCTCTCTCTCTCTCTCTCTCTCTCTCTCTCTCTCTCTCTCTCTCTCTCTCTCTCTCTCTCTCTCTCTCTCTCTCTCTCTGTCTGTGTGTCACACACTGTCACTCACCTGCAGCACTCTGTACCTCAGCCAAACTTCATCCCCATCTTTCTACATTCTCCGTTTGCAGAAGAGGAAGCCAATAATTCATCTGCTGTTAGCTGCAGTCTCTGCTTAGCTGTGATTGATGACATTTGAGAAGATCGCATTTTACACGAGTAGTCGGCGTGAGTTTTATTGCATTGTAGTGTCTCTGTACAACTGGCAGTGCAGGCTTTGGTTGAAATGGGCCAAGTAATGGCTTAAGAAAATTGTACTTGTATGGATTTCTGTCCTCACTCTTGTGCTGGATTGTACCTGGATATTTTGATCACTATGTTGTTGTTGTGAATTACAGGTGTACATTTGTTAGGGGCGGGACAAACATTTTGATATGGCAAAGTACTGTTGCCCTGACATGTGTGATGCAAACATATTCCAAACATAAATCCATGCAAATTTGACTCACTGCGTCACTTCTTCATGACTCCTCCTGGTCGCACATGTGACATGAATTAAAGAAGATGAAAGCGTGTCTGCAAAGGGTTAAAAAAAAAAAAAAGTTAAAGGTTTAGGTGTGATAAGAGGTGTAACTGACTCCAAATCACATTAATCCTGCACTTTACCATTTCATATTCTTCAGTTAATCTGATATCTTGATGTATCATAATATGATTGTCTTGCAATATGTCCAATATCGTACAACCATTGTTGATATTTTAGTTTTTGGGGGCAATTTATCGATGTATCACCATCACTATCTGTATTACATTTCACTGCACATCTGTATGAGCATGTGACAAATACAAATATTTTTTTTTATCGAATTTTCCAGGTCACTCTTGAAAAATAATTTTAATCTAAATGAGGCTGTTACTTTGTTAAATAGTGCTTTATGTAAAATAAATTCCAAATTATAGAATAAACAGCTTTTTTATCTTTGTTTTTAAATTAGTGGGGTTTAAGACAATTGAGCAAACAAACCAATCAAATTTAAGACATTTGTTGGAAATTTTACCAGATTATTTAAATGTAATGAAGAAAGAATTAAATAATAAGTGGAGTTGTAGTTAGCTGTGTTACCACTATTAATCGTCTTGTCAGTAAAGCTGCTCAATAAATCCATCTCATCAAGGCCTGGCCTGATGAGAGTGTGACCTCAACACTTTCACCTTGGTCCCTGTTGAAGTGTTCCAGTGTAATTCAGCTGATTCAAGCGACTCATCAGTGTGAAACTTGTGCATTTTTTTTCTATTAAGCATAAATATCCAAATGAAGGATCATCTCTACACTGTGAATGTGCGAGCCAAAGCCAGGAGGCTGTACTGTGGAAGAGGACTTCATTACCATTTTACACATGTTCCTCCGCTTCCTAATTACCCTGCGAGGTAGAGGAAATGCCAGCGTCTAAGTGTTTACCAGTGCAATGAAGTCATGGAAATAAACCGCTTCTCTCCCTATACCTATACTTCTTCTTCTTCTTCTGTGGTACTACTATTCTTTGTTTTACTCTATCTATCTCTCTTTCCTCTCCTGCCACCTTGGTGTCCTAGCTCTCTCTACCGCTCACTACTTTCCTCGTCTCACCATCTGTTTAAATCTCTACCTCTCTTCTTCATCTCTCCTGCCTTCACATGCTGTCGTTTGTCTTTTCAATTTCTGGCAGCAGGTCCAATTCGACCTTTAATCACCTGTAAACAAAGATAACTTTGATCCCTATTGCATTTCACACTGAACTTGAACTTTATATTTTTCCACTACGAAATACGTAGTGCAAACTACGAACTGAGGTACAATTAGTGTAGATGTGTTTTTTTG